AAAACATTAAAACAAAGTATAATTGATATATATATATATATATGTGTGTGTGTGTATATATATATATATATATATAGCATATAATAAAATGTATTAACACATACATTAATAAGATACAACAATATAAATGATATTATAAAAGGCGCCTGCCTTGTCATTTTTGTTGCCTAGGCGGGCGCTTAGTTGCTAAAAGTCAAGGCGTTTGGGCGAGGCGCCCAGCCAAGGGCACCTAGCCGCCTAGGCGACGCCTTGACAACTATGCTCCTTCCTTCTCCCTTAGCCATTTTATTGTATTGGAAGAATCACCTTAAATGGTTACAGAGGACAGGCCTAATATTTTGGTAAAACGAATCCTTGTAAGTGCAGCTAAGATCACTGCCTTGTAGAACCAGCCCTCCCTATTGGACCATTGAAAGTCCAACAGATATTCCCCCTTCTCACTCGGATTACACCACCGATTCCTGCTTGAGTTGTGGATCCTTGGGCACTTCCATCAAAGCGTAGTGTCATCACTCCCTCCTCTCTAGAATAATGTCTATGATTTATAACACTCCTTGGGGAAGAGTAGAGGACTTCTACTAGATTTCTTTGAAGATCATTTAAAGAGAAGCATTTGAACACTCCTGAATTAACCACCCAAAGGTTACACAAAAAAGTAATGTAGGAAATCAGGTTTTCAATGTTTCTATCTTTATTTCCAGAGATCCTATTGTTTCTTTCTTCCCAAACACCTGACTACGCTGTGTGAGTCATTGTACTCCAGTACAGTTTTTCTCTTCTTGGTAATCCTCTGCCTTGCCATTGCCACAGAAGGTCCACAACCTGTTTAGGAAAAACCCAGCTATAACCTACTAAGTTGAGGAAATAACACTAAATTTTCCTCGTTACAGGGTAGTGGAGGAGAAGGTGCTCAACCGTCTCTCCGTTATGGAGACAGAGAGCAAACATGGGGTGAGATATGCAATTTGCCTTTGTACATCTTTTGAAGCAGATCACAAGTGTTTAATTTCTTTAGGCATGCCTCCCACACAAAAAAATGAAACTCTAGGGGGATATATGAACACCAAACCTTCTTGACCGGAAAAGGTGAACCTTGATCATTCCAACACTAGAACCTTGAAGGAGTTAGTAGAAAACTTGCCAGCAGGACTGAGTTTCCAAATCCTTTGGTCAAGGGCCTTTTGAGGTTTAAGTTCTAGTTGGTTTCCGAGGGTGAAGAGCGAAGCCACAAGGATACCTAACAAAAGCAAGGGTATTCTCACCCCACCATGGATCAGTCCAAAATTTAATTTTATTTCCGTTTCCCACCTGATACCTAACAAAAGCAATGAAGAGGTCATAGGTAGAAGAGATGCCTTTCTAGGGGTTAGTTGCTTTCACCCGGTTCAAGTGGACCTTGCTATCCCAACCATTGGCATTCCTTCCGTACTTGTTGTTGATGATGGTTATCCAAGTAGCTTCCGTCTCAAGGGGGTATCTCCACAACCATTTCCTAGGAAGGTTCTATTGTAGGGTACTGAAGAATGTTCTATAATATGACCAAGGATCGAAGTATCAACATTGAGTATTGTATCAGACAACTCAAACATGGATATACTTTGGAAATGCATGGATATGGACGAAAAATATGGAAATGCTTGGATATGCTAGGGAAACACATACAAATTCCATAAATATGTTAATAATACTAAATTTATGGTCAAATAGCCACACATAATATATAAATACATAGAAACTATATATTTCAATGGTGTATATGAAAAAATATATTACAATTAATGTAGAGAACACTAATGTGGGCCCCACATCTGTAGTCCCCACTGTGTTCGTAGGATAGTATGTGTAATTATTTGTTTCAGTCATGGTAGTGTCAGTTGGTGGTCAGTTTGTTATTTCAGTTATTTATTTGCTTTATTTGTCATGTAAGTACTAAGGGCAGATCTGTC